GCCAGTAAATAAGTCACCATATGCTGTGATTTCTTTGATGACAATTTTCCATCAGGCGCTGTCTTATTGCACTCCTGTGGATACCAGTTCCACCAGTACTGACTTCTGGTTGGCTCTGGTGAGACAGGATGTTTCAAGACCAATTTCCCTACGCTGGTTGCCTCCGGTGTGCTTTGCTGATGCTTCCCAATGAGATCAGCAAAGAAAAATGTCGGTTCCTATCTCGCGGAATTATGAGATGTATCGAGGAGTCTGAGCCCAAATGTAGCTGGTTTGGCTTCTCTAGTCGAGGTCACGAATACTCAAAGAACCACGTCGCTTCGTTTTAAGGTTGTTCGTCCAGCTGAATAGTCCACGTACTTGGACAATCACATTACGAGGGACAAGATGTTCCTGTTCCTCAAGGGCCAAAAGGAACTCCTCAAGTTCGTCTGAAACACGTCATTGGACAATGTTCAACTAACGTGCTGCGGTTAATGACCAACAATTTGAAAAGGTCACAGTACCGTGAAAAAAAATGCATTGAAATCGCCGGAATCCTCACAGTCAATTTTTTGATGGTTTTATATGTCGTCTCGCTTGGCATACTACTGAAAGTATGCCTGAGTAAAAGCAGAATAGACTATTCAATTCTTTAGCCTTCGTTCACTCCTCCCACAGTATGTCTTGTGAAATTCTAGTACAAGCAACTTTCATGATCCGGTCCAAACTAACAGCTGACTAATAACTCTTGTTAAATGTGTTTGTCCTCTACGGTGAATACTCTCAGATAATCCTGACAATCGAAGCGTTAACGCACCCGAATACCGACGATTCAGGATAGTTGCGTCTGGTATGGGATCCCCGGTGTACAGGTCTGAGATCCTTTCACTGCTGGGTCACGTTCGAATTTAGGAGATATGATATGGGACCGAATGGCTAATAGAGGTCACATTATCACACTGCTCTGAATGTGATGATACATCTGAGAACGACCACTCGGAAAATCGGGCAGTGGGTGAGGCACGTTTAAGACTATGGAATAGTTGTCTAATATCTGATTCAAGTAGTCAGACTCTGCAAAAATGCTCCTTCAGTACCCTATCGTGCTTGGTGCCCGTTATGCCAGGCTTATATTTTAAGCGCAGGATAATGTAAGATACAAGAAGACAGCGCGTTTCTTGTGAACCTAATTATCTGAATTTAGAGGCATTCTTCTGTTACATAAATGTCTGACCTCCGAATAGGCACCTACTCCTCCCAAGAAGAATACATCCTGACGAGACGCATGGGTTGGCCTTCCTGGGCGCGGATGGCCAGTGTATCCCTAAACTCGTTGCATGTATCCACACAACATTTCACGACTTTGTTCTCTGAGTGTTTTGCTACTAATGACAGAGTAAAAAAAGCGTGCACTTCACAGCTAAATTTTCGTATTAGTTCGCGAATTATAGTCTTGTAGGATCAACCACGATCAAACTTAACCTCAGATCTTTCAGTTAGCACCGTCCATATGAGTGTGAGGAGCAGTTTCATGGCTTACCTAAGGATTTTTCCGTATCGCCTACGGCGATGATTCAAACGGACCATGCTACAACTTCTCTTGAGTTGCAAGGCCATCTTCAAAAACCCCAGGTCTAATAAGCATCATGCCGGTCATGTCTTAGTTGACGCACCGAACGTTTAAAGCTTCAAGAGGTTGCGTGACGATGCGCAATACGCCTGCGAACTAAAATATCGATCGGCGACGGGACACCCTCTATCGGACACTGGATAAATCATTAGCAATTGGATGGCCACTGGAGCTATGAGTCTGCATTAGACATAGTTGATATTGTTCACCGTCATACTGCACCCTCTTCCGGTGAGATTGTTCTGGGCCTGTACAAATCCAGCTTGCATTGGACTGAGAAGATAAAATAGCTGAATGTGCGCCACGAAGAGAAGACAGACAGTGCAGATGGGTCATCTTACAGCGTACGTCCCAACTGTAAATTATAAGCCTCCGGTAAGCCAGATTCTGTTATTGGTCATGGAGCTGTCGGAAAAATTGCCAACTGCGGCAGAGATTTTGTTGACATGCGCGCCTAGAAAGCGGTCGACTTTCTGGAATGGCACCGTATTGAATATCTCTAGGTGGTTTGTAAGGAGGCTTCGAGGATTACTTTTAATCTCAGGCAGGTAGTTCCGATTATCCTAATGGTACGGAAGTACGGTTCAGGTTTAATCATCACTGTAGCAGCTTCTTCGACCCTAGGGGCTTGTTGCGGACAAATGGATTTTCATCATAAATCCGCTGATAGCTAAAACACCGTGAAATCCATTTTTCGGGTAGTGTACGTCCGAAATACAGACAGTGGTTTGGCAACTTTATCGTCTTTCCGTTGGCTGGATCATGCTTAACCTAATCCACCATGGATTCTTGGGAATGCATGCGTTGTCTGCCAATCAAAGCAGCCTAAAGCGGAGGCTTAAAGTGACACATGAAGCAAACTTTCTAAAGTTTGGGCCGTAGGCTACCTACAACGAACTTTTTTTGTGTAGATGTTAATACACATCATGGTTTAGCTCACTTTTCCGAAGCGAAGTCGGTAGTCTATTACTAAAAAGAAACTAAAGAACGAAAAATCGATAAAAAGAAACACTCTTTTCTTGTCTTTCACGATAGGAAAATTCCTGAACAAGACAATACCTGTTTGCAGTAAGAAAAAGCAGTCCTCCCGACAAGAAGACTCGTCCGGAGAGACAGCTCTGAGTGATGATATCAGAAGAAAGTGTTTTTGTGTGTAGGGTGGTTGCTAGATGTAGAAGTGAGAAATCAAAGTGTATTCATAGCATGAATAAAAAAACAGACGTGTCTATATCTTGGGCCTACAAGTAAGCCGATTTTTCATCTTAATATCAGAAGAAGGGGAGTTTTGGTACCAATCCAGTCGACAAATGTGTGACATGTGGAGTACAGATGTGTTTGTTAGTCCACTCCTCACACAAAGGTTTGTCACATAGCCAGCCTTCAGCTAGCCGCAGTGAAGATGAGACTTACAGGGCCAGTGCAAGCAACCGTGTCGTTAGCCTACTGATATGTTGAATGCAACATGCCTTGAAGTCCTCCACATGTATAATCATTGTGCGAGCAAATCCACAGCTAATATACAGTCGAATTCAGTCAATTAAACAAACTAGCTTATTGTCTGACAGCTTTTCAGAAACGACTATACCGTTTACACAACACCAGCTTATTCACTAGCAATTGAGTGAAGCTCGATTCTTTCGTAGACGAATCAAGAGATCAGTGGTAGTTCAGTGTTCGCCCCACTGGTACCTATTATGGAATGTTGCTGGCACCATGGGATGTGGAATAATGCTATCACATCAAGAGCGGGTAAAATAAATCTCGGTCTGTCTGCGCCTAGGAGTTTCACCATAGGATAGATGGAAGATTAAATTATGGGTGACGGGATGAGGAAAAAATTAGGAAAAGTGATACCAGTGGTTACGCCATAACGCAGACCAGACACTCCGGTTAGGTTCGACCGTAAATATCGACACAGCATTTCAATCGATTATTTGAGTGGATTGCGTCATCTAGCGATTTCCATGTGGTTTATGATATCCTGAGAACAGTGCTTTGGTTGATAAGTCCCTTGTGTGATTGCTTTTTTCAAATACACAAGATCTATCTAAGCAAATATTTGTCTATTGGTTGTTGGCTTGCTCAGCGCACTCCCGGCGAATTTGCTGCAAAAGAAATGTTGAACCTTGAAATGCTGCTCTATTTGATATAAGTAGTCAGGAAACAGGATTAAAAAGCAAAACACCCTTCTATGAACAATCCCTTCAGAATGGGATAATCTGGCACTACGAATAAGCGTCACAACGACTAGTCATTAATCGTGGAGCCGAACGACATGTGACGTGGCGAAAAGGTTACTACCTGTCTAAGTACAAGTAAGGAGCACTGCCATTTAGCCACCGGTGACTGAACTGTGTGGAGCTGAGCAGCTAATAGGAACCAGTGGGTTCGAATCGCTGCAGAGGTTAATGGGACACGCACCAGCAAAGGGTCCCAACAAGACTGAAACAGATGCACAGTGATCTACAGACCTCAGTGTAGGGTGACTGCAATTACAGGATGAAACATTGATCAAAAAGTGCCAAAACCCCGAATTACATAAACTATCTTGTGCCATCCAGGGAGTGAGGAGAATGACTGTACATGCCACCTCTGTTTCTTAGTAGGTGCATACGCAGAGGATTTGCACATTAATTCTTAAACTCAGATTGTTTTTCAGCGCGTTTTTCTTCAAAGGCATGGTAAGTGCAATATTGACAATCTACTGGTACGATGTCTGTGAACTGACGTGCTTTTAATGGACAGCTGAAACAAAAGCTAGCCAGTAGTTTGCAACAGCACAGCCGTACAGGAGTGAGCGAAGCTTATTTCTGTGTGAAGTCATCCTAAACTACCCGCGATATATCACGACAGAATATTCGTCCACTCCTTGAGGCGTACAATGTTCTGGAGAAAACGCACATCTATTCCAGTGCTCACACGTAGGTCGGCTTTGTTTTAGTTGTAGCTATCGATTGCCGAGCTAATCACAAACGAAGGAACGTGTTTAGATGGTAGTTGAACGGACAGCTTTCACAGCTCTACACCGGTGGAACTGCGCCTGTTTTGTAATCAGATGTCTTTGGAGGAGATTCCCTGTTACCGTTTGTCAGGAATAAACATAATCAACGAAACTACATCCTCGAAATGTACAATAAGAGGTCCTCTTAGGTGTCTAGACCAACCTTACGACAACTCGTGACGCCAGAACGACCCATGCTTCGCCCAACCACGTGACCGTCGGATATCAACTGCCCAATCAATTAGGGCACAGCGCTGAATATCACCTTTCGATCGACGGATGTATTACAAAATGAGATGGGAAGTTTCGTGGAATTCGCGACCTAAATTTCCAGACGTATCTGCCCTTCTGCACCCTCAGCTGCACGAACAAAACGAACCCAGTTGAACGACATCTTGTATTTCCACTCCGAACGAAACATGTACTTTAGGGAACGGGGGCGCGTTCGATAAATCCAATGATAGTATAAAGTTATTTGACAGAGGACAAAATCAAAATCTCATGCCGCGAGCGAGGCATCGAGTCAGTCGGATAAAACATTTGTACGCAAACAAAACGTGCTAAAACGATACAAAAATAACAATAGATGAACGTACACAGAACCGCCAATGGGGTCGGTAATTAAATGCAAAGAACCTGTACAAATGATAGTTGGATGATGCAATATGGAGGGAGCATCACGAGAGATCTACTCATCCTCCACTTCATCAGGCTCACCATCATCTTCATCCTCAAGTTCCGCGCCGTTTTCATCTCCTCCTGTGCCGGGAGTTGGATTACAGTCTGAACCCGGGTTTTCAGTTAGATCCAAGGTGGTCGGATTGGGTGTCGCTCCAGCAGGTTTCTTTTGTACGGGAACGTAAACACCAGCCCGATATTTCACCATATCCTAAAAGAGACCACGTAATAAAATGAATAGGTTCATAAACACAAAGATGTATTGTGAAGAGCAATATAGTAAGAACTCACTTCTTCATAACGTTGTTTATCTTGCTGAGCTAACAGCTCGTACTTGGCTTTGTCCTGACATGCCTCCCACTGGCGTCCAAGCTCCTTTGCAACATCTGCAACCTTGAATTCAGGGTTATTTTCCTTCACTTTGCCACGGTGTTCATCGCAGAAGAAAAAGAAAGCTGACCAAGCGCGTCTGGGAAGACCAGGATCTCTGGGCACTTTTCGCTTTTTCCCTTTTTTCATTCCTTCTGGTGGCACATAGTCGCTCATTTCTCGGTTGAAACGCTCCTTGTCAAGGGCGGCCAAGTCCTCAAAGCGTTTTTTCTCCTTGGGAGTCATCAACTATGGAGAAAATCGGTAATGCGAAAGTGGAACTTACCTTCCACCGTTCAGCACATTTTTTGGAGAAGTCACTGAACACAATTTGTTCCCCGGGGTGTTTTTTCTTGTGTTCTTCGCGAATAACCTGCACGAAGCAGGCGTAAGCCGACATAGCTCCTTTAGGACGGTTCTTGTCTTTCATTCGGTTCATGTTGTCGAGATCTCTAAAGGAACACGGAAAATAAGAAGCCAGCGTGAACGATTGCGAAGTGATCCCATTGAAATGGAAGAAAATTGCGCTAAAACTGCTCGCTTACCTTAGTCCAACGAATAGGCCTGAGCAAGCCAAACCAGCAACAGTAAGCTGCTTGGCTGCGTATGGTGAAGGCGTGGGGACGGCCGGACGTGCGGTGTACAGAGCGCTTAGGTCTAAGCCAGCGACAGCGATCAATCCACGCGAGGGGGCAGGCAGCAAGAACTTGGACCATAGTGACCAATGGACACACAATTATTTCTCATGTAAGTACCTTCACGTTGGGGCAGAATTAGATCTAAAAAAATGAAACAATTCGAAATCATATCCACTTATTGGTATTTATTATTTTGTTAACGAAATAAACGAGCGAGAAATAACGAGCTTGTTTTAACGCACTGGCTCTGAACGCAGAATTACAAATCTTGCCGCTTTTGCGTCCTGCGTTCTTTTTGTGGATTGTTCCGTGTCGGTGTACGCTAACAACATGGCAGATATTCGGAAAGATGTACAGAAGCATTTCTACCCGATGAGTGAGCGCGTGGGCGCCTGCATGGAGGTGCTTTCTAATGTACACAAGAAGGGAAAGATCAGGTGCCTAGTGTTGACAGGTTTGCAAGGCCTTTTTTTAAAACAAATATTCCTGATTAGTTTCAGTGAATAAGCCACATACCATCCAGCTTTATGTCGTGAAAGTCCAGGATGGCGGCGATATCTCAAATATCCCCATTTGTAGTACGAAGAACCTGAAGAAGCTGGATTGCCGAGATTCAAAAATGCAACCAACGTACGAGATGCAACTGACCACTGACCATAAAGTATGTTTTACGAATCCCTGGTTGCCTTGGAACCTAACCGATACCAAAGTATTTAGGATCCAGCGGTTTATGTTTCCTCCTAGTCTTTTTTGTGGATTCTCGGATTCAGATTGATGAGGCAATCAGATAGTAGTGTCACCAGTGAACGAAGGCACAACAAATTTTCGCACAGTTTTAGCTAAGGTGGATAATGGTAATAATGGTGAGTCTTAGCCGGGAGAGTGTTTCCTATTTTTGCCAAGTCAAGCGGATTATAATCCGCTGTACTTACACTAGGGTAACTGTCGAAGAAACACGAGGGCTGGGATACTTCGAAGTTGCCCAAGCCTAGACAGGGGAAGTTGAGAGGCAGAGGTCGGGTTCGATCCACCCTCCCGGTCAGTAAATCTGCGCTCGAACCACTGAGCCATCTCGAAGTAGTATTTTGTTTTGTGTTGGCGGGAGCGGGTTTGATATCACAAACCAGTCAGGCAGCTAGCAATCAAACCTCCAACCGACCTTTGCCTGTAAGGTTGTAAACATGACTTTCTTGTCTTTCCTGTCACTCTTTAGATGAGAAACCATTCCTTCCTAGGACCCTTCCCTATCAACTGGAGATGCATACCAGACATCTGAGAGTAGTGTTATTTGCAAGTTCTGAGACGTCAGACGTGGAGGCCGTAGGATTTTCAAAATTTGTCTTACTTAGAAACGCAGTCTTTTCTGATGAGCCTGCTGCAGAGTCACGTCTTCCGGCATTTGTACCGAAGAATACTCCAGTTTTTCTTGGACTGGCAGTGTAATGGTTTATCTACTATCCTCGAGGCAATCCCCTTCAGGAGAATTACGCACTTTATATACATGGCCTCCAGGACTTCTAATCTGCAATAACTTTTTCGATCGTTCGCTAGTTCTTAGCTGTCTGTGCGTTTGACAACTGGCTCAGGAAAGGGACTTTGGCATCCTAACATGAACCCAGAATACCGTATTGCCATCAGTTGTGGAGAGCGTGGATTGCTGCCTGCCGCTCTTTCGGAAATTCCTTCGTAGACTCTGACCATTCAACTGCCCACCGGTGCTTTTCATTGCGCTTTTGAAGCCTACGCCATCAAGAAACTCATGGACCCGGAGATCAAACAAAACTAGCTCCTGGAATGCGTGGTAGATGGTTCGCTGTTTGCTATTAATGGTCACTGGAGACATATTCAAAGACCTGCTCCCTGCCCTAGCTTCTATCTGCGGTGCAACCCAAACAGGCTCATCCAGCCTTAAAGGACCGTGGCTTTGCTAGTGGCCGGGCGAAAGATTGCTCCTGGCCGCAGCCACAACCCAACCCGATGTATAATCCAATGCCAAGTTAAAATGATTGTCCATGCACAAGGGGAATCTTGATTAACCCGAAGGGCCGAAGAAATAAAAAATACGAAGAACGGTGGAAACGTCTGCAGTCTGTTTCTGTCAACTGGTCCCCAAAAACCTCTTGTCAGCAAAACTAACATGGACTGGAATGACTTTGATATCCAGCAAAGGGCAAATTTTGGACCGTTGTACACAATACTTCGAACCTTTCGGTTGGCCACCTACTACCCCTAATTCACGTCACCGGCTTTCAACAATATGGAGTCACCTTCAGTCTCAGGAGTGTCCGAGTGTATATCTATAATCAAGCATCATCCTACTCCTAGTCCCGACAACCCCGCGTTCCGTTCAAGGACGGTGGTGAATTCTTCAGCAAGTGCCTGTCGAGCCTATTTATGTCTATCTAGAAGAAACAGACCTCCACACAACTGGAGCTGAGTTGGTGGTATTGCACATCCTCGAAAAGGGTGCTCGAAGTGAATGTAGTAGCCAAAGGGATTTCAGTTGGGTTTTGGTGTAACAGGGGTCCCCGATTTTTCGTCATCCTACGGCGGCACGTAAAACCTTGACTCGTGAACATCAAGATTTTGATCGGCTAGGCGCTGCGTCGAACATATCTTCACATTCCATCAGGTCTTAGAGCAATGCCATATGTGCAGACGACCCCACAAACATGGTGTTCCTTCACTTTAAGGATGCGTTCGATTTAGTCAATCTTTTGGTGCTCTTAACCGCACTTGCTCAACAGGGATGCCCCATAAGGTTTTGAACATAATCCGGTTCCCATGTTCACATACTTCGGTAATTCTGAGCGTGTGTGGTGAGCCCTCCAAACGCTTCCCTACGAGAATGTCCACTTTCTCCATTCTTGTCCAACTTCGTCACTGATGAAATGTTGAGGTAAACACAAAAGTCTTCAGAACCACGGTGTTCATGTTTGTTGGCGAGAAACTTGCCGATCTGAGGTACGCGGACGAGGTCGTCCTCAACTTTGATAACGAAGGATCTGTTGTAAAACTTGACCACCATCTTCCAGAGTACATCGTGGACCCTCAAAGTGCGATGTAATGCTTCTGAATGGGCAGTCTCTGAGCAGGCCCCTTGCAATTCAAGTAGAAGCACTGGATCTTGTGGAGAAGTTTTCATGCCTCTGTAGTTGTAGTGGCTCTGACGTAAACTTATCTGGTGAAGTCAGTGCATGAATCTCAAAAACCCAAATCACGTATGTTAATTTACGCCACTTTTGGCGTCAAAGAGGTATAATTGGGTCTCACAGGTTGTGTACCAGGCCATATTGTGCGGTTGTGTGATCTGGCCTCTGCGAACAGATGATTTGGGGGTATTTTCAGTTTTCTGACCACCGTTCCCTCAGAAGCGTTGCTGGTGTCAGATGGTGTCAACCAGTCGGTGACAAGATAATTGTGCAGCAGGTACCTCATTTTTGGAAAACCTCCAGACCCATCAGCTGCGCTGGCTCAGTCATGTGCTACGCGTACCGAACCACCATCTACCAAGACTGTTGTCTTCTGTGCCTCCTTTGTACTCATCGTCGTCATCAGCTGTGAGAACCACGTACTTGCCGCACAATGGTTCTAGCTGCCACAGTTTCGTCCACCGATGGTTTGGGTAGATGAGGTAGATAGCTGCGCATTGGAGGCGGTAGCTGATATAATTTATGTGTGAGTACAGGGTTGTTAATGGACTTTTAATCGGGAGAATCAGAGAGGAGCTATGCATTGAAGGCAATAGCTTAAATTCATGAGCGCCGTTGAGGGCGCGACTGGGCCATATCTGACAATGTCTCCAATCATTGATGTGTCCCGTCTCGGGGCCTCTCTTCAGAGAGACGGCAATGACCGGCGCAACTGAGTTCGTTGGTAATGTTTTGCATACTTCGCCGCTAAGTCATTTTTTGACCTGGATAGTTTCCACCCTTCGCGTGGTTGTGCGCAAAGTGCCCTCACATGAAGTCGGTACAAATTGCGAGGTGGACAACATATGGCCTGGCAGAATGGTGTGGAAGAGATTACCAAGAGTTTGGACGTTGGTGCAATATGCTTTTCAGGGTGTGGTCCTTGTGACCCCTCTTGTAACTGTTTGGGTGCACTGCAATAAATGGTGGCTGATAGATGTCAATGGCGTTCTTGCTGTCAGTTGCTTTCAGGGTTGTCTGATTGGGCTCCTGGAGGTGTAGGCACATAAGAATGCATGCGATATGCGAATGCCAAGTTCGTCCCTCCGCAACTTTTCTCTTTTCGTTTCAAGGCCATGAGTATGGACTTTGTGGTTGCACGGTGGTGAAGCATCAGTTTTGCTGTCTCTTGTGCTGCTGCTGCGGATGGTCAACTTTTAGGAAGGGATGGAAGCAACCGCCTTTTAAATTTTCTGAAGCCTGGGGCTGTCTGGACATTTTACCAAGCTCTGAGTGCTTCCACCGTCACATTCTCATTGAAGCCAGGAAACCACGCCAGGCAAATCCCCCAAGCACCGAATAGGTAACAGCCTAAGGATTGACGGAGATCGCTGGTGGTAAAGGCCTGTGAGGACTAGGATGCTTTCGTAACAGGACAAGCCCCCACCCTATTTCAGTTAATTCGATCATCTGGTCCGTGGATACTTGTGTGAGTGTAACGACATCCTCGTTTCATTCACACAAACCTGAATAAGCGATTCGACAAAAAGTTTGACTGGCAGCGAGATGGCCGAAGTGGTTAGAGCGCGAATTTATTGACCGGAAGGTCCGTGGTTCGAATCCGACCTCCGCCACTCGACTTCCCCTGTCTAGGCTTGGGCAACCTGGCAGTATCCCAGCCCTCGTGCTTCCTTCGGGTAGCATGGCAGCTAGGCACCGGAAGGGTGCTACAGCTGGACGCTTTTGAGGGCGAGATGGTCCAAGTGGTTAGAGCGCGAATTTACTGATCGAAAGGTTCGTGGTTCGAACCCGACCTCTGCCTCTCGACTTCCCCTGCCTAGGCTTGGGCAACCTGGCAGTATCCTAACCCTCGTGCTTCCTTCGGGTGGCATGGCAGCTAGGCACCGAAAGGGCACTACAGCTGTACGAGTTTCTTCAGGTTGCACTGGCCAAGCCATGTAGTCCGCATCCCGAAGAACCGATTCCCTCGCACGACCATCTTCACCCACCGCTAAGTCAGGTGGAGGCGATCAAGGGGCGCCAGCTGATGACGTGTTAATGAATCTTTCTAGTTGGCTTGTTCGGACTAGTGGCTTATGTCTTGCCGGATGGGGGCCTCGAGATGAGACAAAAAATGAATAACGACCCTAACATATAAGGCCCTATCTCATAACCAATGATGTTCCTGTGTGCAAACGATTGCCTCAGTGTGTATCTCACTCTGCCTTCAAATCAGTCTAATTCAATAAACTTGCCAGATTACCGCCTCCAACTCATAGATGTCATTACCGTGCTCTACCTACCATCCGTGAACAAAATTCTAGCAGCTGATACTGCTTTGCCGTGGATCACAGCTCATAGATATGAACGGGGTGGGTTGGAATTCTGGTGAACGTGGATTGATATGTTGTTCAGAATCGCTTTTGCTCGCATCCAATGAGCTGAGTTGCTGAAGTGTTCGAGTGTTTGATTTCCTTGTCTGGGGCTTCATGAACAAGGGGGGTGCACCAGTTTTCTCTTGTGTTGTCTA